ATATAAATACATATAAAAGAATATACATAAAATGAAATAGGAAATTTGAGTGCAGTTATGAAAAATTATTTTCATTTAATTCTAGAAAACAATTCTCTACATTATTTTTTGTCTAATGTTTTTCATATCAAACATATTTTCATTTATAAATTATAATTATTAATTAATACCAAGATATTCAGATTTGTTACTCGGTTATTAGCAAAGTTTGCCATTTATATTTTTTATGGACTTTCTGCTTTGTTAAAGAAATAAAAAAATACCATGTATATTGTATTTGACTCGCATGAAACACATGTACGTTTAAACTTGTGTTTGTACATTTTCCATGTATATACACATGGAAACATACAATGCTACAAAATTATAATTATATCTTTGCTTATAATAGAAAGTCTATATTTCGTCTTTAAATTTTTATACGATATATGTATCCTTCATCGTGATTTCTTGATACGATTATATGTTTATTTTCTTCATTGTATCTTATCATCATAGTATATAATTTACTTGCATTCCAAATGCATATATTATGTTTGATAATTCAAAATTAATTGCAGGATATTTAAAAAATCCTTTTATTACATTTTTATCAATTATGTAATAGAAAGTTTTAAAATATGAAAAGCTACATATTTTTTTTAATAAAACGAGAACAAAACAAAACTAGAAAGAAAATAGAAAGGATGAGAATGAAGAAAAAATTACGATCATCGTTATTCCTTTTTTCACACTGTAAAAATGAGATATACTGAAAAGTGTGAATGAGTTAAGGATTAGTGATTTAAATTTGTCTCCTTGAAAGATTCCATTCTACTCCAATAGTAGAATGTTTCATTCGATGGGATAAAAACATGAGATGCACTTGAGACGCAGTAAATAAAATTAAAATAATTTATATATAATTAAAGAAAACGTTGTTGGAAACATGTCGATAAATGAATTACAAGAAAAAAATTATCGCTGTAAATATTTAATAAGTAAATATTGTAAGAGAATCGATTAGATTGCAAAAATAGAGAAAAAAGACAGCATTGTTATTATGCTGCTTGGAAATGTTGCACATGCATGCGACGCATCGTGTCGATAATTCACGTACGAACACGCACGTATATCGCAATTTATACATATATTTGCGTGTGCTTACGTTTATATTAATATACATATACAGAATATAAATAAAATATCACTAAAAATTCCAAAACACAATACATAAATACATACTTCTATGATAAATCATATCTATACAAAAAAAAAAAAAAAAAAAAATAAAAAAGAACTCCATGTCAAACTGTTGTTGATTATTTTCTCGAATATATGCCTGTCGATCATGCGCTGAAGAAAATCGTTAATTAAATCAGTAATCTATATTACTGATTTAAAAACATGATATACAAATTACATACATACACTTCTATGATAAATCATATCTATGCGAAAAAAAAATAAAAAAGAACTCCATGTCAAACTGTTGTTGATTATTTTCTTGAATATATGCCTGTCGATCACAACGCCGAAGAAGTCATTAATTAAATCAGTACTTTATATATTTTTTGTAACACTTCATATACAATATTGTTTCTATAATCTTAAATAAAATACATGTAATACTGAACAAATTATATAAATATATAAATCTTACTGAAATTTCAACATTAATATCTGATGCATTTGAAATTAAAAAGATGTAGATATATATCTACGTATATATATATATATATATATTGTATACTTGACAGAATAATTTACCATAACATTAAGATGCAATAATTATAATCATACTGTAACGTATTACATAAATACGCATTTTTAAAAACACTAAACGTGTAATCCTATATTGTATATTTATTACAATGTAGTTATTTTATATGTATGTAATATAATTGAAATTATTTATAACAAAATAATAAGGCTTCTAATGTACATCCACCAAAACGTTAATTAATTTTTACAATTAAACTATTTTTCATTTTTTTTAACTAAAAAATATTAAGATGACAAATAATATGTGACTTTCAAAAGATTTCTATCATACAAATTATTTAGTAGAAATAAAACCGGTATTTTTAAATATCTATTATTTTTATTAATTGTTTTATAGTTTTACTTTATCCATAATTTTAGTGTTTCATGTATACAATAAAATATTTCTTATTTTTAACATTTTTATTCATTTGTTATAATAATATATAATTGTTATGATACGAAGTTAAATGAAATAATTATTGCAAATCAGAAGATCGTCTGAAGTGTGCTGAGGTCGTAAACGGACCTTCATCGGCAAATCCAGCGATCTCTTGTGGGATAATAGCATATTCTTCTACACTTGTGCACGGTCTACACATACATTCTAAAGGTGCTTTGGTAATTACCTGTTAAAGAATAATTAACCATAAATTCATATAATGTATTATATATATATAATTATAAATTTAAATCATTTTATATAAAAATATTCTCATTTGATTTCTTATAGTGTTTGTTATAAAATATAGAAATAAATATAATTTTATATTTATAAATTATTCTTATAAAATAATTCAATTCAAATCACGCGCGATATTCATTTTCTGATGTGCTTCCCACTGGTCGGTTAGACGAAAACAATATGGCTGCGGGAAACTCGTGGTGTCAAAAGTTTTGTTCCTGATTTTATGATTCTTAAGTGATTAATTGATCGACGCTTTATTAGTTTTTAATATTTGTTCAAAATGTTCCAAATTTTATGATTAATTCAGAGCAATAACTTAACCTTTCGGAATTTTTTTTCGCCTGGTTTGGCTCTCGGACAAAATAGTGATACACTGGCCTCTCTTTCGCCGCTTTCTTGACAACACATGCAGCTTCTTTCCATTTGCCAAATTTTTGATCCAGACACCTGTAGAAACAGGTACGAATAAATAGATATTTATGTAAATTCATATATATAAATATATATGAATTTGAAAATTTTGTTTTCAAATATATAGTTAAGTTAACGTTGCATAAAATACAATGGCATCTAACAATTATAAATATATAAAACTGATGTCTATATGTTTATATGAATTCTAAATAATGAATAATGGAAAATATTTGGAATTTTTACATATATTTAATTATTAATGGAAAATATTTTAGTAATAAATCTTACAGTTTATTATTCAAAATTATGTAATTACATAGAAGATTGAAACATTATAAAAGTAATTATATGGCAGAAAAATTTTAATCTTAAATATTTAAATAAATTTAAATTATTTTAATATTAAAATTAATTAATATTAAATAATGTATATATTATATTATGTATATATAAATTTATATACACAAGATTTATAAAAATATTAATATAAATAATATTTTTATTTATTTTGAGTAATAATACAATTAATTGAATAAAAATACAAAAAATTAAATAAATATACTTTAAATATGACTATTGTTTTTGTTAACCAGTACAAAGAAGATTCATAAATTTATCTATAAAATAAAAATAAGATACAATATTAATAAGATGCAATATATTTGTAAATATATTTATATATTTATTCATATGTATTACCTGTAGGTAACTACTGCAACGTCCTCTACATGCATAACTGGGAATTGGTTTTGGAACACATCCAGGATATTGTAAAAAGTGGATAACTGGAGTTGCTTGACATTCATCAACACCTATAATTGCTTTCGCTGTTTCATTTAGCAGGCATATTAATACACTGGCACCTACTACATAGTAAGTAGAATTATATAAAATTACATTTTTATTTAATTTATAGTTAAAAAATCAAATTATTTCATTTTTTTTATTTTTATTTAAAGTTTTTTTGGATTTTAAATATGAATATTATAATCTTTTATTTACCAATATGATAGAGCAACATAATGTTAGTAATAATAGGATACTTTTCCTCCTAGATCTAGTACTTAACTGTGCTTAAAGATTGTGCGCTCTATCCTTTTATACTCTGTGGGTAAGCATGTTTCTCCCCTTCTATGATTGTGTTATGTTATAATAACACAAATAAAGGGATCAAGTATATAGAAATGCTATTAAAGAATAAGTGTTTCCTTTAGATATTGATTGTTCCATATTTATTTTCATGAGAAAACATTTTCATTAAATATCTTTACATTTTTTATAAAAAATTATTCTGATAAAATTGATTATGAAAGACATTGCATATAAATTGATTAAAATTAAAGTTTATAAACCAAAAATTGAAATTTAATTTTCTACATTATTTTTATTATGCTTTATTATATATTATTATATATTTTTTTAATATAATAACTTTTTAATATAATAACTTTTAATATAATATATTGATCGTATATGATTTTCTGAATGTAATTCTAACATATATATAAAAATTATATTTTAAAATATGGATTATTTACTAAAATATTAGATTATTTATTATAAATATTTATTATAATTATGTATAAAAAGCTATATTAAACATTTTCTTTTCAAATCAACTGCTTAGATAATATTATAAATGATTTTTTTATTGGAATTATAAATTTTCAAAAATAATTTGTTTATCTAATTAAAATTAAATTAAATTGATATAAGAACAATGATCATAATAACATATAATTATAATATTTTAGTTTAAATAATGAAA